TTACAAGTAAAAAGAGAAAAACTATGAACTAGTTTCATTATATGAAAAATTTGTACTTTGAATCTTTGACTATTTTATCCTTTCGAGTTTCTAACTCATAAAACTTTAATCTGTATAGTTGTAGTAACATTGAACCACAAGATGCATTTTGAAGTTTTCTGGCAGCATTTTCATTCGATTTTCGCGAAGAAAAGCCTTGAATGTACTAAATGTGCGCTCGACGTAAGTTGATACAAGTGGAGCCCAATTTAAATATGGAACGTTTGAAACGTTCATATTATCAGGAATAAGGGCGTTTTCCTCGCCCTTTACAATTTTATCCACACCCCTTATTGTCTCCAAGCCTACGTTAGCTGAGAAAACGGCTTTGAATTTTTCCAACACCAATTTGGCAAGAGGTCCCTGCGCTTCTATAAGCCGCATGGGCATGTGTATATTTTTTAATCTTAAAAAAAAAATGTAAATGCTATAATCACTTTTTTAAAGGTAGAAAAGGCAAAAAAAGGCAAAAATCTTAAAAAAGGCAAAAAAAAGCAAATATCTTAAAAAAGGCAACATCAAATGTGTATATATGGAATCAGGGAAAGCTAAATCGTGGACATTCTTAATCGAATATACTCTATCTCTTTAGCAGAAAAAAGGCAATTTCCATAAAATCCGTTCCCTGGTTATAACATATAATGAAGCACATACAATATAAACATATATATAACAAACACGTTATCTTTTACATTGTGAGTTTGATATTTGTCCATACTTTGTTTCACTATCCGCAGGAGTATTATAAAAAATTTCACACAAACGCGTTTCAACATAGATATGGTACATAAAAATCATACATAGATATGGAAATTCCTCGATAGTATCGAACTTCAAATATGGCCGAAAGTGGTCGCCAGCGATAGTTGCGATAGTGATGTCCCATCTAAACTATCGATAGTTTGCCACCACTAGAGGGTATCTCTGCCATGAAAAACAGCTTCTCATAAAAATACAATCGCCGTCTGGATTCGGCGTAAAACTGTAGGTCCCTTCCCTTTATGTGACGACATCAGGGCGCACGCCACAAATCGGAGGAGAAGCTCGGCCAAACAGTAACGTATGTGTAAGCGCCTATCTATTATTACACTGTACGATATTTTCAGTTGTTTTTCTGGGGAATTGATGAAACCAAGTCTTTCAGAAAGTCTGGGTTGTATTTACATAGAAAAGTAATTTTTCAGTTTTCCCAGGTTGGATATTTTAAGCGTTTTTTTTTCAATTTGAAAATTGTGGTGGTAGAGCAGCATTTAAAACAATTGAAAGACGNGTTGTTTTTCTGGGGAATTGATGAAACCAAGTCTTTCAGAAAGTCTGGGTTGTATTTACATAGAAAAGTAATTTTTCAGTTTTCCCAGGTTGGCTATTTTAAGCGTTTTTTTTCAATTTGAAAATTGTGGTGGTAGAGCAGCATTTAAAACAATTGAAAGACATTTAATTGCAAATATTTACACCACCAAAAGGCCTTTCTAAGGGTGTTGGGGTCCGAGGAATCTAAATTTGCAATTTAATTTGGTCAAAAAACGGCCGCTGCGTGCGCTATGATACAAAAAACATGAAAGGCACTTACAGGAAAATTTCAAACAATGTTGCTCATAGATGTTTCTGAACAATGTTCCTTCATATTTTCTTTGGACCAAAGCGCACCCAGCGGACGTTTTGGTAAAAATTAATGGTAAAATTGAATTGCAGATTCAGATTGCTCGTACCCAAATCCCCTAAGAAAGGCCTTTTGATGGTTTAAGTATTTGCATTTAAATAAATTTTAATTGTTTTAAAAGCTGCTTTGCGACAACCACTATCAACTGTAAAAAAAACGCTTAAAATCGCCAACCTGGGAAAACTGAGAAATTATTTTCTGTATACATTCCAGACTTTCAGAAAAACTTGATCAATTTCCCAGCCGACGCCGAACACTGTTATTATTAAAATTATGTAAATATGAATTATTTGCTTTTAAAACTTCAAAATATAAAAAAAAAATCGGCGGAAAATAAGAAGGTAGAAGATTTTTCATTACCACTGGGAAAATAGGTAAGCACCCTACGAGGTAAGCCATGTTTTCTTTCACTTTTTAGTCCCAAAATGGTCATCATGGCCAATGTCATCTACTAGTAAAGCGCAACATGGACACCTCCGACGACACATTACGTTGTCAGTTGCAAAATAACGTGCAGCCGAAGTTATTTCCAAGCACCGAACTACTCCGAGCGACTGCTCTGCATTTCACGTAACTTACTTTGTAAAGCGGCTCAGAAGTATGTCTGTACATTCTAAATTCCTACTTACATAAGGCGGCCACGTCTTTGTTAAAGTAAAAGTATAAACAGAACCAGATCGCTGTGCGAATTTCGTCGGCCGGAGCGATGCCGTTGGGTGATATGCGCCGCAACATTTCGCCCAGTAAAACAGAACAGTAACGAAATTCGCATCAATTAAATGGCAAATAAAAAACATAAAAATACAAAAGCGAAAAGATAAATCACAAAATTTTGCCATTCTGATTCTTGCTGATAATTTCTAATAGAAAAATGGGGAAACAAAGCTCTATTTTCACTGAGAGCTGATTTTGTGACCGGCGGCAGCAGCAAAATTAAAAATAAATCTATTCTTGCCGAAATTCGTCGTCACTTTGATTGTGTGCAATCTCATAAACTGCGGTGTGTTTTAATTTTGGCAGCGAACTTTCTTCCGACGAATTTCTCTGGGCGATTTGATTCTGTTTAAACTTTATGGGAGATTCGTCAGTGACGTGGCAAGGACAGCCGGGTGAAGTGTAATTTGCTGGCAAGGTATTGCCCTTCACCTGGCGGCCCTTACCACTTCCCTTCCAAATCTCCATTACTTTAACAAAGACGTGGCCGCCTTATGTAAGTAGGAATTAAGAATGTACATTTGGTATCAGACATACTTCTGAGCCGCTTTACAAATTAAGTTACGCATAATGCAGTCGCTCGGAGTAGTTCGGCGCTTGGAGATAACTTCGGCTGCACGTTACTTTGCAACTGACAACGTAATGTGTCGTCGGAGGTGTTCAGTTTGCGTTTTACTAGTACATAGATGACATTGGCCATGATGACAATTTTGGTACTAAAAACTGAAAGTCTGCGTTCAAAAACGGAAACTCGAGTTTCTTATTATCGGCGATTTCTCTTTTGGTGTTGCCCTTTGCATTCACACACAGAAACTCTTTTGTACGCAATTGTTGTTGTCAGCTGTAAATCGCCAACTTGAATTACTCAGACGAACGAGAGCACAAAGCGTGTTTCCCGAGTACGGGCGACTCGGTACCCGTCCCCTTTCCTCGTCGCTCTCTCCCCTACAAGCTTCGAGTTTCCGCAACAAAAGTTTTCGTGTCTGAACATCGACAAAGAAAACATGGCTTACCTCATAAAGTGCTCACCTATTTTCCCAGTGGGTTGTTTTGCAACTACATACATGTACATTTGCCTGGAGATTTCAATTGGCGATCTCTGTATTTGGACGAAGAAGTAACTGCGTTGTTCTGTTCGTTTCATTGATTGGCTGGCGGTCGAGTCGATTGCCAAACGACTTCATTACCGTGATTTCATTGTCTCATGTACCTGAAAAAATGACCACAACCACAACTACAACAACAATATGCACTTTGATTCGACCCCTTCCAGACACGTCAAGTCTTACTTTCAAGTCTGCTCGGTTTGTGGGCGAAGGAGGTGAGAAGAGAGGAAAAGTGTAAACTCTTCTCACTTCCATCGCCCGTAGGCGTAAACGAAGTTCGTAAACGAGCAAGACTTGACGTGTCTGAAAAGGATCTTTCTTACCAAGTTAGTGCAGGAATGTGCAAGGTTTATATATAAGAGGTTGCTCAATGCGCAGGTCCATTCTTTTCTCGCAAAATTGGGCGACAACAATAGCGAAAACAACAAGCAGCGTAAAAAACATAAAATTAAGTGAAGTGAAGCAATTTCAAACCAATTGTAATCGATAGCTTATTCAAAAATACATTTACAGTTAATTTTAATTTAATTTTTACTCATGCCTTTATGTCGAAAAATCCAGCAAACCAGATTTTTCACTGCGGAAAATTTTTGCGAAATTTTCGTTTAAACTCTCTATATCTCAGACGTTTGTGTATCGATTGATTTGCAATTTGTACACAATAAACTAGATAATATTGTAAAGAATACTTATTTAAAACAAAATGGCGGATATTTTAACATTTTTATAAAACTTACAAATGCAAAAGTTCTGTTATGAAGTTTACAATCTTTGATTTGTTTTATTGCAGCATTAAAGACAAATATATACGGACATTTTTGGGAAAGTTTCAGGTTTAGATAACAAGTAGTTCTAAAGTTATAACAATATTATGGTGACACCCACGAGCTGGCGCTCGCCTCTAGATGACAAATATTTTACCGCGCACTTGTACAAGTAATTTTGGAATTAATATTAAGTGAAATGTTGAAATGCATGAATTTATCAGTGTACTATAACTTATTAATAAACTTAATAAACATACTTACATACATACATACATAGGCTGCATTTCTTTATTCATTCTGAACGTTTGGAATAAACTTTTTTGTTTATTTATTCTTTAGAACGTTCCTGATGATATGTTGACGTATATTTCAAACGCATTCTGTTTATTCCGGCTGTGAAATTGGATTATCCGGAATGTATAAAGAAACGCAGCCATAGTAAATATGCATGTAACTCATGAATCAATTAAAAAGATTACGTTTTCCGATTGGCAACCATATTGTAAACAAAGAACAGCTGATGGTCGTGACGTAGTTCGACCCATTCGGCATTTGTTTACATTTTGTTTAGAAAAGTGGCGAGCGAAAGTTATTTTAAATTTCGAGCGGTAATAGTGATTTTTTTTATTAAAATGAAGTGCGCGGTCGTTAATTGTGCAAATTCGCATGCAACAAAAAAATAGGATTTTTTACGTTCCCGAAGGATGAGAAAATCCGAAAGCAGTGGGTGCATTTCTGCCGCAGGGAAGTGAATACAAAAAACGGGCGAATTTGTAGCGAACATTTTCTTCCTGAAGACTTGGAGAATCAAGTACAATTCGAAATGGGTAAGGAATGTGTTCGATATTTAATAATAATTATTACACTACGTTAATATGCGCAGGATTTGCAAAATATTGGGTACTAAAACCCTGCGCCATACCCACGACTACCGTGGAAGCCAAACCTCTTTCAACTGTAGCACGAAATGATCGGTTTATACAACGATCAAACAAAAAAGTAGTTGCGGAGCTACTATTGGACCGGACCGTTGCTGCAGAAGAAATTGAGGTTACCGATACGGTAGATGCGGTAGAAAGTGAGAAAGTGGAAGATGCGCCCGATACCGTGGAGTCTGCAACGTTTACGTGTGCCTCAGAGCAAATTTTAATTGAAAAAATAAAGCAATTGGAGACCCTCATGTAATAAGTTTAAACAATTTCTACTAATATAGAAGAATAATATTTTTCTTTTTTGTCTACAGTGATACATTAAGGCGAGAAAATTTTACTTTACGTGAGCAACAATTAAAGCGTGACAAAGAACTGGCTCACCTCCAGATGCGCGTTAATAAAGCCGAATTCGAACACCGAAATATTGACGGCCAAATAAAAAAATTAAAGGGCGGGTTAAAAAGGCGGAACTGGTCTGAGCAAGACATATCAAGTTCGATCACACTCTATTCGGCTAGTGCGAAAGCCTACAGATTGCTAAAAAAGAATGGGTTTCCGCTTCCTGCTATACGAACTCTGCAAAAGTGGGCACAAAAAGTGCAAATTAATCCTGGGATAATTGAACCGGTGATTAAGTTGTTATCTGGAACTACACTAATGGACGAGAAACAAAAAATTTGCGTATTAAGCTTCGATGAGATGAAGCTACGCAAGTCCTACTGCTATGACCGATCATCTGATACGACGCTCGCTCCTATGGATTACGTACAAGTAGCTATGTTACGAGGTAAGTTAATGCATTTTGGTTATACCTACAGGCTTATTTCAACATTTTTCATTTGTGTTTGCAGGTTTGATTGCGAAGTGGAAGCAACCAGTTTTTTATAATTACGACTGCAGAATGACTCAGGAAATTTTATTCAATATAATTAACACGGTGAAAATTCAGGGCTATCGCGTAGTCGCTGTTGTCAGTGACCTAGGCGGAGCTAATAGGGGATTGTTTAGTGAACTAGGCGTCAACTATGAAAACCCATGGTTAGTAACAAGTAATATCTATTATATTATGAAATTTTTGTACTAACATGTAATATAAATTTACGCTTACAGGTTTTATTGTGATGGCACACAAATTTTTGTTTTTGCAGATGCACCGCATCTAATTAAGTTACTTCGCAATCACTTCCTCGGTCACGGGTTTATTATAAATGGTAAATCAGTGGGAAAGGAAGTGATATTGGATCTCTTGGCCTGTACTTCTTCCAATTTGACCATAACACACAAAATCAACAGTAGTCACCTGAGCGTTGCTGGTGCCCAAAGGCAAAAAGTTAAAATGGCGACGAAACTTTTTTCACATACGGTTGCCCAAGCAATTACGCGAGCTGCTGGTTTTGGAAATCTGGGAGGGCATAACTGGCAAGAATGTCATACGCTATTCAAAACGGTAATAGGTTTACATCTGTTATTTGATGTTAATATAATGTTTTATGTTAATGTAACAATTTATGATTTTCAGACAAATGACTGGTTCGATATAATGAACGTAAGAGTTCCTTATCCAGATACCCGCAAGCAGACTCATGCCTACGGATTGGCTTTGGACATTCAAAACCCAATCATCGAAAATATGACGTCTTTGATGGAAAACATGCGGGTGATAAATAAATATAGTTTGCTGCCGTTCCAAAAAGGTATAATATATAAAATTTGTAAGTAAGAAATATCTACATTACCAATTTTAAATTAAATAGGAATAATCCAATCCAACAAAGCGTTGAAATTGTCGTCCGAAGACCTAAAGCACCGTTTCGGAGTCGATTATATATTGACGTATAGGTTAAATCAGGATGTGTTGGAGAATTTTTTTGGGGTAATCCGTAGCAAAGGAGGTATTGACGACCATCCTGATCGTCAACAATTTAAATATCGGTTGAGGGCGTATATACTTGGCTACAATGAAGGCGTGATATCCGACAACGCAAACACAGCAACAGACGACACACCAGATCTTGAGAAGTCATATAAATCTCTAACCGGTAATTTAAAATGTTATTATCCGATTTTATGTGGATAATTCTATTGACATATAATTTAATACTTTCACAGGGTCCATATTTAAAGGCATTGCCCTACAGGACAACGACGAGCACAGCGAGATAGAGTTTGATCCCGAATTGGAGGACCTCGAGTATGACGGCCTAGAGAACGTCGCTGGATACATTTGTAAACGACTCCATTCAGAGGTGCCAAACATGAGGATAGAAGGTAACGACCAAAACTATTCGTGGGTAAACCACTTGTCAGAAGGTGGACTTTCTAAGCCCACCCAAGAATTGATGCGTCACTTAGTAGCACTGCAGTACGTGTTCGATGAGATCAATAAAGACAGTTTATTGATAACGGACAATTTTATTCAAAAACATATCGACAGTTCAGAAAACATAAACTGTCATATAAAAATTAAAAAGCTATTTTTCCGCGCTATGATGTATTTCCGAATACGGAAACTAAACAAAAACATAGCTGATAACGCATATAAAAGAAAGAGAAAATTCGTCAAAATAGTAACATAACTTAAAACATAACAAAAATATGAAGACTAAATCAATATAAATAAAAAAAAACTATAACAAACAAAAACACTACAACAGCAGTGGAATACACACATATAAACATATATATATTCCTGAAGGATATCATAGTTATGTAAGAGTAGATAGTTGTTTTTTGAGAATTTTTATTAATGCTTCTGTTTCTTTTTTTAGAATCTCACTGACTGGAATAAAAGCGGAGGGCACCCACGTACGTATGTACATTTTTTCACTAAATAAAATAACAAATTTAACTGAAATAAAATGTCTTTATTGAATGGTTAAAATTTATGTAGGTACACATGTAAGTATTCTCACTGAGTGACATTCATACATATACATATATATGTGCGTTTTTGGTAATAGGAACCTGTACACAAATGATATAATATATAGAACATTTCTTTATGTCTATAACATTTTTGAAATGATAACCACTTTAAACGGTGTTTTACATGAGACGATTTTACAGGAAAATTTTAGTTCAAAGCAACAATCGCCTGGTGTGAACTGCCTTTCAACTAATCGCTTTCAATGGCTCCCCCAACTCCCCCAACTTTTGAGTCAACTAATCGCCTCTAAAATTGCCTGGAAAATCGCCTCATTTGAACACCGTTAAAATTTAACATTTGCAACATTTTTATAACAAGACTTCCCTGGCACTGAACAACGTAAAATACAATTGCATTTTGCTTATTAATTTCCTCACCGGAACAACTTCTACACAAATAATTTAATACATAGAACTTTTCTTTATGTCCTTTTAACATTTTTTAAATGATAAGCACTTTTAATTTAACATTTCCAACATTTTTATAACAAGGTTTCCCTGGCACTGAACAACGTAAAATACAATTAGATTTTGCTTAAGTTTCCTCACGGGAAACACTTCTACGCAAATAATATAATACGTAGGACATTTGTTAATATTTATATACTTTTTTTTTACAAAATCCTTAAGTCGCTTCTATCTTGATTTTTCCCAAAAGCAGTTTTACAGCAACATAACTATGCACACTATAACAATGAATGTACCAATAAAGCTTTAGCACTTATTCTTTTAATATTGTCTTTAAAGCATACAAGTAAGTATTTATTTATCAATTCGTTATGTATTTTATATTTTTTACACTTGAATTCCACAGCATTTCACTTTTTATTCCTTTGTTCGCATATTTGTTTACAAAATGTATGGAGTTTAACAAAACAATCATGGCTGCCAAACACCCAATACGTCATCACCGAAATCGACTTAACTGCATACATACACTGAAAATAAAATCTGCGTAAATATAACGAAAACTTGCGTAAATCTTACGAAAGTTTTCTTCATTTTGTGCCACGAAAGTTTTCTTTGATTGTACAAAACCGTTTTCGTACATACTACGAAAATATGAGGCATCAGATCTTTGGTACATTTTACGAATGTATTCGTACTATTTACTAAAGAGTTTAGTACTATTTACTAAAGAATTTAGTACTATTTACTAAAGAATTTCGTTCTATTTCTTAGTTTGTTACGAAATTTTTGTAAAATGCACAGAAATAATTCGTATATTTAACGAGATTATTTTCGTAAAATCTGCGCTTGCTTCGTAGAATGTGCGATTGCTTTCATTCTCCACACTGTAAAAAACATATTACGAGTTATAACACAACACTTTTATTTTGTTTTTATCGTTAATTTTAAGCGTTTTTGTTTAAAATTAATTTTGTTAATATTAATGATTAAAATATAATGAAAGTGTTGTGCAATAATTTTAGTCATGTTTTTTATAGTGTTAATAATAAAAGCAATCATACGTTCTACGAAAGAAGAAGAAGAATTTTCTGACTACACTGTAGTTTAGAATTAATAAAAAAGGTTATTTTACCTATAACAAAACTTAAGTCTTTTATTTATATGCATACGAATAGGTTCTATGCTACATATTTTTTTATTGCTTAGGCTTCATTCAATAAAGTATATTGATGCAAAGTGTTAAACTATGAGACTCAACAAAACTAAATATAACAAGATATAAAATATGAAAGAATATAAAAAATACTGGTTTTACTTTCTTAAACATTATAATATTTTTATGTAGAGGCACTTGACAGATTAGCAGCTTCATCGATGTTTGTTTCCTTGACGACTATAAATTAAAGGAAAATTATAAGGCGTCTGAAAAGCAAGTTTAAGTGAAAAGTCATACATGTACTAACTTTTAATTTCATTGAGTAGTGCTCCTGGCTTAGGCTTGCCGTTGATAGGTAACTGATGAAATTGCCCTTTTATCAAGTCCCACATTGCAGCGCAAGGCGCAGCGTAGGCGATGTTAAAAACATTATATGCTTAAAAGTATAGTATATCCACAGCTTTAATATTTAATTTTGTATTATTTTTTTTTTATCCAGCAAATGCCTTTTTAAAACAGTTAAAATTATATTATACGTCTCACAGCAGCCAACAAGTAATTCCGCAATGACACGCGATACATAAAAGTATGATGAAATATTAAACTGCCGGTAATTGAGTATATTGTACGGAAATATTCGTATGTTGTACGAATTTAAAAAACATGTTTCTGCATTAGTACTTTATACGAAAGTATTAACTAAATTGTACGAATACAGAGATGTAGATTTCGTAAATTTCAAAACCATACGTGAATATAACGAATACCTTCCTACAATATACAAAATTATTCGTACAGAGATTTGTTCAGTGCTTTACGAATGTGTTTCGTAAAATAAACGTAAGATTTCGTAAATTGTACTGAAAAAATGCCTTACGAAAGTCCTTTCGTTATATTTACGTATGGTTCGTAAAATCTTGTTTCGTTGTGAAAAATGTGTTCGTACTATGACGAAAGTTTCGTACATTGTACAAAAACCAAGACTACGAAAGTTTTTCGTAGCACTTTTACGAAATTTTATTTTCAATGTAGTCAAAATCGTTATTGGT